AACATGTTGGATCATACAGCTCATTACTGAAAGCCACACTATGTGAACATACTTCCATGGATACAGTCGTCATGTATCACATTCTTGCTAAAACAAGAAAAAAGCCTGTTAATTAAAGTCGTGTCCATTTAATTAATGAATTTTTGTGACAGAGATCCCACTATATGACAGGAGTTCTCTACACAAACAAAAAGGTCCCAAAGGAAACTTTATTAGGGGTTACAAGATGGAACTATACCTCTTGGATTAGAGTGACTCCACACACACAATCCAATCCTCCTGAATGGGTAAGCAGATGCAGAAACTATAAAGCAGCTGTAATCAGCAGCAGTCCTTTTTTATAAACCCAGGTTAAAATCTTCAAGCGCTTTTATGAATTTGTCAAATTTAGGGCTACTACTAAGATCTGTTTGTGTGTTTTAACACCTCATGTGTCTTCTTGCAGCAGCTAATCATGCTTTTTCTCACTTTGAGCTCACAACCATCTTCTTGAAAAGCGGTTACATAACCTCTCCACCATCAATCAGTATTTCAAACCTGCTGCATGCATGAGACACAAACACGTCGAAGTTCTAGGTTTATGCTTGCACAATGGCCTTCCTTAAACTTTACAAATGGCTTGCTCTCCCCAGCTTATGATTTTAAGTGAATTTTGCATCTACTCATTTGGGGTTTGGGGTAAGCTCAGCATTTTTCTACAATATGGCCTGCATTTGTATAGCGCTTTTCTAGTCCTTTACATTACGTCATTCACACATTCACACACTGGCGATGGCAAGCTACATTGTAGCCACAGCTGCCCTGGGGCGCACTGACAGAGGCGAGGCTGCCGGACACAGGCGCCACCGGGCCCTCTGACCACCACCAGTAGGCAAACATGGGGTTGGTATCTTGACCAAGGATATTTGGCATGCAGCCAGGAGGCAGCCTGGGATCGAACCACCGACCTTCTGATTAGTGGCTCTGCCACCTGAGCTACAGCCACCCCACCCCCATTCGCTTCTTCAAATAAAATACTTTTAAAATGAAAGTTTTTGATGTTAGAGTCTACAGTGTGTTGTTTTGACGTAGTCAGCCTAGTAGTATGAGCCAATGATCGTAAATGTGAATAAGTGGTTTACACGGCACCATGCTGCTGTGCTCACCGGCAGTACGGGGTCAGCAGGAGAGTGTCCGGTGGCATCTTCGGCCTCATACTTGTAGAAGTCCAGCGGAGCACAGAAATACCCGGGCTGCACATCAGAGCATTGCCGGCCAATTAGGTGCCTCCTGCAGTCACACTGGCCGGTTTCCATCATGCACCTTTAAGTATCACATACAACAATGTGTAGACAGCCTTTTACTGGTGTTCTTGAAATCTCCTGTTTATTTGTTGTCTGCACAGACCATCAGACTGAATGAGTCACAGCCTCACTTCGTGTCCACTTGATGCTTTTTGCATCTAAACGAAATACTTGCAATTTACAGAACGCTTAGTTCTTAAAAGTAGAACACAGACGATACAAAATCTTTTTACCTGTTGTTGAAGGCTCCTCCAAAGTCACAGTCACAAGGTCTGCAGCCTGCCAGGTCATTACTAAGGCCCCAGTATTCAGGCTGTAGGAGGAACACAAACCTCACAATTAGCTTTTTTCACAGTTCATGTACACTTTTTTTGTACACTGCTGCTTTATCATGAACACTCAAAGCAGGAGTTCTATTTGTAATCGTGCTAGTGATCCATGGCTAATCTGCAGTCAGCAGAGACTGAAGGAGTCACTTGGATGAGTGACAAAAACATTTCTCCCACTGAAAACATTACATCCACATGAACAGAATCAACTTTTTGGGATTTCCTAACCTGGATGGTTGTGCATGCATCAAGACATAAACTCCACTCAGTGTTTTATTAGCGCACACACTCTCTGGTCACCTCATCTAATAATATGGATGTTTAGGTTTCCAGGCTGTAAATGAAGGCAGTTTCAACTCTTGCAAAGAGCTCACTGCACTGTATTCTCTGTCATTGCACAGGCCAAGTTTACCAAAATAACAGCAAGAAAATAGCACTATTGAAAGTGTCTTTTTAAACAACAGCCCAGTGCATATAGCCGATTAATGCAATCATGTCGGCCAGTTCAGATTCAGTCCGATTGCTGAATACAAAATTGCTGTGATGACGCACGGTTTAGGTATAGATCCCACACAGAATTTTAAAATATGGCCCCATTCGTTTAACAAGTCAAAGACAAACATCTTCCAGTGCATTATTTAAAGATCCTCACTTTCACCTCCTTATTTTTATTCTTGGACTGCACTGGAATATCTACACAGAGTAGATTTTCATGCATTTAAGGCCTGCTATTGAGCAAACCTGGACATGAGCTTAGGATGAAACCTGAGAGACAGAACAACGACTTTTACTAACCAGACACTGGTTGCAGTAGC